CAATGACTATAATTGTGAAGTTGTCTAAGCATCTGAAAACTATACACTGAAGATGTTATAACAGCGAGGTAATAGTTGAATTTTTCCTTTTATTATTTCTTCTTCATGTGATGTTGCTTTGATGAGCACCCCTAAGTGAGAAAGAGACAAAATATTCATGTATCAGACCCTGTTAGAAGGCAATTTACCATTTGGTGTTCCCATTTGTAACTCACACTTTGTGACAATGATGTAAGGGCATTATACTAATAGGATTGATACTGTTTACTAGTCCATTTGGTTGATAGTACATGTAAATTTTATATCTTTTAGGAGTTTGTTCTAGCAATCATTACTAAATCTCCGGTTTGTAGAAAATCAATACTTCACTATTGTAATGTTATTTTTCAGTATATCACTTTCCTAAAAATACCATATTGTGACTGAAAATCTGATGACTACAACCAAATAATTCAGATTATAATACTCACAGGAGTTGACAGAGTTTTAGTCAATAGTCTTTGATGACCAGTTGATAGGATTGAGTCTCAGACCACTGAAATGTTTTGTATTAAAATCTATTTCAATGTATTTATTTTTAGCATCAAATATAAAACATGCCTCAATACTTCCCTTCATGGAACTCTGGTTTCTAAAGACTGTTGGAAAGTGGCACAAATTTGATTTGGCAACCAAGTCACAGGACCACACCCATCATTCATGTTTGGGAATTACCAGGTCCAGGACTTCCATAGCAAAAGGCAACAATATTCACACAGACACACACACACACACACACACACACACACACACACACACACACACACTTATTCACATATAGTATAACAGAGCCCACTGTCTTGGTTATAAACAATTTTCCTTCCTTTTTCACCTGAAAAATTTTACTTTTCTCAACAAAAATTACCAAAGTGACTTTGCAAACACAACACTAGTCTCAAAATGTAAGATCTCATGATAATCCCTACATCAGATCTGATGTCTTCTCTTGCTTTAGAGATCTTTGTACTAAAAAGGCAGAACACCCACACATACACCCACACACCCTATATACTATAGAGAAACTAGGACAAGAAAATTCCAATAAATATTTCCATATAGAAGGGGAAATAGAAACCGTTCATGAGATCTAACTTCACAGATGATAAGTGGCACCTACCCCATCATGGGCAATGGTGCTTTATTTGGTTGGGTTCTGCTCACTGGAAATAGTCAGCTGTTCTGTAGTTTTTATGGACTTTAACATAGCTTTCTCTAAGGTTGTTCATCTTTTTTTATTATATACTGTAGCCATATCTGAGTATACTAAGAAAGAATATTTCCTTCCAGTCTATTCATAGCATCCTCAGTCAGCTTCATTCTCATGGAATTTTGGAGGAAGAAAAGATTGTTCCAAATCTTGAGAACTGTGTCTTTTAGGCCAAACTGGAAACTCATTTATCAGTATGACTGTCTTTTCTTTGTGTTTTTTATTTTTTGCTAGAGGGCATATGCACTGGTCAGAGACAGAGAGACATAAGAGAGAGAGAAAGCATTTTCCATGGGGAATGGTCACACCACAATCGCTTCTCTTCAATCTCTCCCTCCTTTAAGGATTTTGGCACACATGCACACTCACCTGGTGTTCTTCTCAATCTGCCAGGTCTGAGACTTGAATCCACACTGTCGACGATGTGGGATCTGGCTGCCTTTAACCGCTAGGTCATGGAGTTGACCCACCAGTGAAACTTTCACCAAAATTTTGTCATCTTTTCTTCTATTTGATTCCAGTAAATTCCACAGGTTAATAGATAAATCTGAAATTCTTTTGGGGGCGTTCTACTCTCTGATATACCTGCAGTTACTTTGAATTATGAAATATTCTGATTGAGGCTCACTCTCATTCTATTCTCCCTATACCAGTTTTGACCAACTTGAAGGTTTTTATTAGGACCTTGCCTTAGTAGATTCAGGGCTTTAATGACAGGTTTGATGGCCACATCATGGATTTGGCCCTTGCCACAAAATTCAACTTTAGTTGACCTTTATTGTCCAAAGCCATCCTTGATTTTATATTTTATCACTTGGGAATGAAAATCCGAAGTCTTACCACCCTGAAAATCGAAGAACCATTTAGACTTCTATATTACTTTTATGTATTTCTGAGAATTCAATAATTCTTTTTTGAGTTCACTTTTCTTTTAGGTATTTATCAAATTAATCCATAGCAAGTAAGAAATGTTCATTCATATCTTTCCACCTAAGAACTACAAGCTTACTCTATATACATCAACTGCTTTTAAGGCACTACAGGAAACTGAAGTATCAAATGTTTCACTACTTCAAAATATGAGCATCTCTTTTCCAGCCTTCAATATATTTTTTTCACCACTTGCTTCTGACATTGAAGCAAATGCCATGCATTTTAAGTCTTTTTTCTTCTACTATTTTAATGTCCATACCAGTAAGCTTCAACTAAGATTTCTGCAATAACAAACAACTCCAAAGTCTCAGCAGCTTACCCATGTGGGTCAGCAAAGGTTCTGCTTCATGTCTTCATTTCAGGATCAATGTTGAGAGAATAATGTCTATTTTAGAGATATTGATCATACAATATGAGACATGGCAGGAAAGACACATGGAAAAAGAGGCATGGCAGAGCCTTGGGTTGGCCTTCATAGCGTTTGATGGCAGTTCTGGCCTCTATATGCAGCGGTAGCCTACCAGACTGCAGACCAAGAAGCCACACATCAACTGCAGCTCAAATTCCTTGTGTGAGGGCCTGGAAAAACAACCATCATGTTGGCCAGGATCCCAGTGAGCTGGATGCATGGAAGAAGGGATTGCAGAGTTTGCCCCCTTCCTTGAGTGCCTGTGCACACACTGTCATGAACGGAAAAATGCCTTCTGAGGGCACATGGCACACATAACTTCTCCTCATAAAGCAATGGCAAAGCAAACCTCAACGGACACCCTGATGGGGTGATGTGCAAGCACAATTCTCTACAGAGGAGCAGTTAATCTGATCACCTTGAGATCATAGCTCATTTTTTTTTAATAGACCACAGATTAGTTCATTTTTAACACCCATCATGCCATGAATTCATAGGGAATAGGTTCCAGTAGCTCAGGCTCCTTTCCATTGGTTCTCACAAAGTGTGCTTCTCTGGGTGGAGCAGGCTGGCGCTTTAGTTGAACCCAGGTACCTTTCTCTTTGGCTTCTTTCTTTTTCTGGTCATTTTCCTTCACACATTTTAGGAAGCTATCTCTACTCTTAGAATGTTTAATATGCGCAATACGGACATTGATTCTCTTGGTAAGAATCTTGCCCTTAACTTGTTTGTTCACAACAATGCCAACAGCATGCTGGGTAACATTGTAGACTCTTCCAGTTTTGCCATGGTAACATTTGTGGGGCATTCCTTTTTGAACAGTACCCATTCCCTTAATGTCTACAATATCACCTTTCTTGTAGATT